AGTGCTATATTCACGCACAGTGATGATGGAGTAGCCCGTGCAGGGATCGACCAGAGACAATGTCTGCAGTTTTGACCAGCGAGGAGTACCCTGCGCCATGTCGAGACTTTAATTGTATGCATCTTAATTCATTCTTCTCACAAAACTTCAATAAATAGCATTCATTACCTTAATCACGGACGGGTTTAGAAATGCCCAAAAATGCAGTGGCGTTATCTCAGGAATATTAGTATCACTCCACTATTCTAAAATTTGGTCGTAATGCTTCTGTTTTAAAATATGTTCGAGGTGAATATATGCTATATATCTCTGCACCACGACCTCCGTCCCCAATCATACCAATCAGAATTCTCTAGAGTACCAGTGGTATAGTAGTTGTCACTAAAATATAGGTGTAGACCTAAAAGTTAATAACTGCTACTGCCAACATGTAGTATTGTATAGGATGCATGGCCCAACCATACACATCACCCATAACTAAAATGATAATTAATGAGCAAGCATTTGCCTACAATGTAACATGGGGTGTGGAATAACATAAAATGACCATGGCTCCAATAGAGAACGGTGGAGAAGACTTTATCTGATTCGATTGTAATTTTTTTCGCATGGTCTTTTTAATGGTTTTGTTTTCCTAATATAAGTAAGGTATAAGATATCCTATGGCGTCTTTGTAAAAAAAATTTTTTTTTGCTTGATTTCAGCTCATTTCGTTATCGTATTTTGGCTTTATTTCTTCATCGACATTTGTGTTTCATGTTATGGTTTCGTTTCTTTATGAGGGGCGTGTTCTACATAAAGTTTCTTATGTCGTAAAATTAAAAGAAGGTTCTTTCCATCCTAAATCTAGAAGCCCCAGAAAATTCTTCATATTCCAAAAAATATCTTGGATCTCTTCAAGCAGTTTTTGCAATAGATGGGATGCACATGGATTGAATTAATAAATCAAGAAAGTATATAGGCTGATGCATTTTTCTTTTTGTTGTTCGTTTTATATATGATCATTATTCTTCTCCGTTTTATCCTCAAACGGTTAATATATGATGAGTACCCTACATGAATGGTTGATGGAGCTAATTAAGCTAGGCTGCAACTATGCACGACGCCTGTTCTCTATCTCACACCTCACATGTATGTCAAACTAGCTACACTCTTAGCTAGCTAGATAGCTCAAGATATTCCATGGAACTCTATTCTTTTTAAAAAGGAACAGTATCTTTGCTTTTTAAGAACTGTAGTACTGTTAGCATATAATCTAGATATGCCTTCCTAAGGGCTCATTTGAATAGAAGGATTAGAAAAAAAACGAAGAAAGCGAATATAACTGTAAAACAAAGGATTATAAAACATATAGATAATATAGAAAATGCTCATTTAAATAGACATAAAAAACACATGATTCGAATAAGAGAGATATAAGGAATTTTTTCAAGAGGTTAGAATTTCGCTAACTTTTATCGAAAATCTCTATAGGATATTTAATGTTAGAATTTCACTAACTCATTATATTTCATATTATAAGATGTTTATTTTTCTCTAAGTCAAACTTTTTAAGTTTGACTAAGTTTATAGATATTTAATGTTAGGTTTAGTAGGACTAATTTGGTGTTATTAGAGTCACTATATTTTTCTATAAACTTGTTCGATCTTATAGAAGTTTGACTTAAAAAACAAAGTGACTTATAATATGAAATGGAGAAAGTATCATTTATGCAAACTATTGGTAGTAGATTAACTATAGAGATCTACACCCGCCGTCCCATAAAAATCTATGTTATTCGAATTTATAGTTAGAATTAAACTCTTTTTAGATGGAGAAAATACATGGCAGAGAGGGGTACTCCCTCATTAAAACATGGCATTTTACTTTTTGCCACTTTTAAGATGTAACAATTAAGGATTTGCTACTCACAGTCTATAACATGTGAGTCTTCATATGTCTATGATATATAGCCCTAGTGGTAAATCCCTAATTGTCACTTGTAAGAGTGGCAAATAGTTAAATATCTAAAAAAAACCAACCTAATTAAATATGGGATATTACCTAGTCCAACGAATTTGGATATAGGTTTGTTCAGATTCGTTGGACTAGATAATATCTCATCTCTAAACTAGGTTGGATTTTGTTGGGAACGGAGGGAGTAGTGTCTAAACTGAAGAAAAAGGGAAAAACAAAAGATGTTGGAGCACTGAGGAGCAAATTGGCCAGCTGCATGGCAAACGTACACCGGGGTCATTCTTTAGCGTTTTATTGGCTGTACCAGCTACTAGGAGAGACACACTAGCTAGCTGGAGGAGTACTAGTATCTAGCTAGGATCATCAACTACTACTGGATCGTCCTGTGATTGATTAATTAATTAATCTATGATGATGGATGGTTGATCGTTGTTTTTCTTGGAAATGGAGAGGACAGGAGTAGCACTGTATACCACTGTTGGCTCATCTTTCTCTCTCTCTCTCTGTGTGTCTGTGTGTGAGATAAGAGAGAGTGAGACTTACTGTTTGTGTGAGTGAGTGAAGAGACCTGGTTGGTGCTGTTGGGATGAGCTGTCAGCAGCATTAGATGCTCCCCTCTGACACCCCGCACCTGCAATGTCTCCCCTTGGCTTCACGGCCCCGTTATTCTACCCATGGCAAAAAAAAATTAGTATAACCCATGCCAACGAGAATATATACCCGGTATGTCGTTATTCTGTATTATCAATGATATAAGAGTATGGTAGTGTGTTTACGATGGTTTTAAAAATGATATCGTCTGAACATTATGAAACAATTAATTGAGTACTATCTGAGAACATTTTCTATAAAAAATATGACTCGTATAAATCAACAAGTAGAAACAAATTAAGGAAAAATTGATAATCTAATCTCATTCTAGTGCAAATTTAATGAGCAATAGCCAAATCATGTATAGGACAAGATATACATCATGAACTATCAAACATTCAAAGGTGGGTAAGAAATCCAAATTTCATAGTGGATAGAGGGTCAAGTACATTATCATTCTGTGCTAGCCAACACCATAGAGGACCTCATCACATCACACTGGTGTTGCAAGAGGGATGCATGCACATAATACCAAGCCCTACTAATTAATTGATGTCAAGTTCACACACTCCAGATGCATCCTTACTCCATGAAACGTTGGAACCTGATGGAAAGGGGCTCTCTATACGTAGGACCAGATGGCATGCCCATCCTCTCTGCTGGATGAGGCAACATCATAAGCATAATCATGTTCATCAATGGGAGAAAGACTTAGTGAGGTAAGAAATGACAGACCATAAGCTACGTCATTACATTGAGAAAGGAGAGGACTAGGCATGCATGGCAATCTCAAAATTTTGTGAAACGTTAGCGAATAGTGATAAATATGAACAAGTTTGTATTTCTCTGTGGCATAGAATAAATTATATGCAAAAGGTGTGAAAAAAATAAATAGAAAGCAACAAAGGGATGGTATTTTTTTAGAATAAAATATTTAGTCCTTCTTTTAATTGTTATAACCAATTTCGCACTTCTGTATGGATTCGGAGCATGGGAACCCCAAGGACAAGATATTCTATTACATACTCTTACGAATATACGTTCACACAAACACTAACAGCACCTTGCTTCACTTTATATATATAATAGTACTACCAGTCGTGTTGCATAAAAGCAAGTTTACAACACACATGTAAATTGTAACTCAATCATTATTACTTCTAGTCCAAGTCTTGAATTTGCATGCTTGAGTACTATGAACACCCATTGACTACCTATTCATGTTACAGTAATGTGTCCTATAAATCTCACATGAATAAGACGGGATGGCTATTTATTATTAGAGCTTGTTCTATGCAAGAGTTCTAGCTATTGCGTGCATCTTTGACCAACATCATCCCCTAAATCTTATTCATGCTCATAAATTTATCTTTACTTTCTTGTTGCAAACCATTTTACAATTTTTTTTCAAAAAAAAAATCCGACACCTTTTTTCGCCTCCGTGAGGATCGGAGCAACAAAGATGAGGGCAATGTGTGGGTGCTTTCTAATATTTCTCAGCTTGTGTCTTAGCACAAAGGGAAAAGGGTGACGCTCTACTGTCCCTCTTTGCTTGCCCTTTGGGTTCATCATTCCGAGGACCCACGAGTGGCCTAGCTGCTACACGTACACTCCATCCATCCAACCCCTCACATGCCACAGCTATCTTAGCTCACTCTAGAGAGAATTTGAAGCTACTAGATATGTAGCTCCTCTCTTCTCCAAATGATTAAAGATCTAAGAACCCTAGAAAGCTGGGCAAAAGAGAAACCAGAGATTGAGCAACCAGCTCTCCAAGGTTTGAAAGTATATGGAAGTCCTATCAGTATCACATACTTAGTGATGATGTTACTTGGAATTCTAGATTGTGGTAAAATTTTTATGTTAGTTGATACTATTAAATTTTGTTGCTACATTGGGATGAACAACCATATGGAAATCATGGTCTATAATTAACCTATCTGTAAAATCCATTGCCTTTTGCTAAAAGAAGAGTTCTCGGTGTAATAATCACTACATGTGTCATCGATCGATCAATTATGAAGTCGTTTGCTATATGTACTTTTCAACATAATACACTGCTAAAGGGGATTACGGGATTACAATTTTGAAGTCTTCGAGGGTTAGAAAACGATATATATATAAGTAGATATCACAACATGTAACTAATGTAGTACGAACAATGTTAGCAAAGTGGAGAGGTTGTTGTCACATGAGAATTTGACATCTAGAGTGAGGGGAGTCAACAATTCTTTCACGTGACTATTTCTAAGTAAGATGAACAAGGATAAAATATCTCGATCTTAGGAAAAAATAAAATAGGTAGGATTAATTGTCAGGAATGTTAGATATAGAAATAAATGAACAATACCAAGGAAAACATAATAACCTTCCCAAAATTTATCGCCAGGAACGCATTCACACTAACCCAACTCAACCACGAATCTCAAATATACGCCAGCTAAATGTAATCACCGAATTAGCTGTCCATTAATAAACTTCCTTAGTTAACCACATGCAAGGATCATATCACCAGCAAGGCAATACCATATACCAATTAAACCCTCCTAAATCTGACCCAAAATGAGGGGATTATAAGAGAAGAAAGCCCTAATCAAAAACCCCAAAACCTACCAACCCCACACACACACCTCCATCCCTCTCTTCCTCCTCTCACCTCTCTCTTTCTCTTTCTCCTCCTAGCCCCACACCTCTCCACCCCCACACCCGCGCGTGCCACGCACGTGCGCCCGCGCCGCCGTTGCCGCCGTCCTCCTCCTCCGTCTTCTGATAGCTCCGGTGAGCGGTGGCGCGCTGGCTGCATGTGCGTGGTAGCTAACTGTGTGCTGATTCTTGTGGTGGCAGCTGTTGTTGGTGGTGGTGGGTTGAGGGCGGCGGCGGCGGCGGCGGAGGGTGGGATGGAGCAGCAGGCGGCGCCGTCGAGCAGCACGAGCACGAGCACCAACAGCAGCCGGAGCACGTCCGACCACCACGCCGCCGCCGCCGCCGCCGCCGCGGCGGCGGCGGCGCAGGTGGCGCATCAGCACCACCCGTTCTACTACGCCGCCGCTCAGGGTGGCGCGAATACCATGCCGGCGCCGGCGTCGTTCATGGGGTCGCTGGCCATAGTGCCCGCTGCTGCTGCTCCGGGTGGTGGTGGTGGGCAGGTGCAGGCGGCGGCGGCTCCGGTGGCGTCGTCGGAGAAGAAAGCGGTGGTGGCGGCGGGGGCGGGGGCGAAGCGGCCGACCAAGGACCGGCACACCAAGGTGGAGGGGCGCGGGCGGCGGATACGGATGCCGGCGCTGTGCGCGGCGCGGGTGTTCCAGCTCACGCGGGAGCTCGGCCACAAGACGGACGGCGAGACCATCGAGTGGCTGCTGCAGCAGGCGGAGCCGGCCATCGTCGCCGCCACCGGCACGGGCACCATCCCGGCCAACTTCTCCTCCCTCGCCGTCTCCCTCCGCTCCGCCGCCTCCCACTCCTCCTCCCCGCGCGCCGCGCCGTTCCACCACCTCCAGCAGCAGCAGCAGCACGACGTCGCCGCCATGCTCGGCTTCCACCACCACCACCACCAGCTGCTCCCTCCTCCGCCACCGCACCAGCACCCGGAGCCGACGCCCCAAGATCCCGGCGCCGGCGAGTTCATGCGTAAGCGCTACAGGGAAGCCGACGACCTGTTCAAGGACACCTCACGCCAAGACCCCGTCGATGGCGCCACCGGCGAGGCCGAGCAGAAGGCCCGTGCGGCCGCAGCAGCGGCGGCGCCGCCGCCAACCGCCCCGTCAGCAATGTGGGCCGTGGGGCCGAACACCACCGGAGCCACCGCCGCCTTCTGGATGCAGCCGGCATGGGCATTCCCCCACGGCGCCGGCGCCGGCGCCGCCGGTAACACGGTGCAGGCGCCACTCCAGTTCATGTCGCGCAGCAGCTTTCCCACGGCGATGAACGTCACCATGGCGGACAACAACAACAGCAGCAACAACAACCTCGGCATGCTCGCCGCGCTCAACGCCGGCGGCGGCGGCCGCTCCGGCGAGCACCAGCACCAGCATGAGGGGCAGTCGCCGGCGGAGATGGATCATCAGCGCCGCGCCAACGGCGGCGGCGGCGAGGCTGGCGGCGCGGCGAGCTCGCAGTGAGCTGAGCTAAGCTAAGCTAAGCTAGCTAAGCTGTGATGATGGGTTAATGGGAGGTAGCTGTGCAAATGCAAATGCAAATGGCATATGATGATTTGATTAGAGAGAGTACAGATTAGGGTGTTTGGAACTGCTTGCTGCTGCTCTCGTTAATTAATCATCTCAATTCATCAATCAATGGATTGTTTGCTTCTTTAGTTTACCCCCCTTATTTTTTACCTGGGATTATTTTAGTTTGCTCTTTTGGATTAATTAATTAATCAATGTAAGGTGTTTGTGATGATGATGATGATTAGTAGTGGGTCCAATTGGATCGATCTTGAGAAGCCTAGCTGAGTGATTAATTTAATATGTTTCTTGTTGTCAGTCTGTGCTCGACATGTACAAAGCTTATGAAATTAACAATGACAAACACCCGGTTGTTTGGGATGCAACCCTACGCTCCTAGCTGAACCTAAACGGTTGCTTTTCTTTGATATTTAATGACCTAAACCGATGCTAATATAATCCTTGGCGTAGTTTGTTGTAATAGTTGATTCTTGCTATGATTTGCATATGTTTATGTCTAGGTTCCGTATGATCATTAATCAGTTTGCTATTGTCCGTGGTTTTACATCCCCTGTAATCTATCTGAACCATGAGAATCCCATAAAAGTCGCGGAAAATTAAAATCCAACTCCTATACTATACAATCCATGACTCCAAATATGTCCTAGATTGTTGCTAACAATCATTTCTCGGATTTCTTGCAATATGTGCTTCTTGGTTGAGCATGATAGCTAGTTAACTTCTTATGCACTAACAATGCTATACGTGAGACTGGTAGTGACATGAGCACATGTTCAAATCACGGGAGTCACGCACTAACAGGACTATTATGGAATAAACCGTTAGTTTTTTTATGAAATCTATGTGAGCCTAACTACCAGTACTCAAAATGAGTTCTATAAGCCGTTACTAATTAATTGTGGTTGATATAATAATTGTTGTTTTTGCATATATATGCCTCTTATGCGTCAATGCTATATAATGTTGTTTCACGTCATTATATATATAATGGTTTTATATGAGCACCCATTTGAAACATGGGAATTCTATAAATATTTTTTAGAAAAATAACCTCTAAGTGTTATGACTTATAACCCATAAAATCCTCCAACCATGCGCTCCATATAATTTCTAATTAAGTTGTTGCAATAGGTGCATATGTTCTTAAAAAAAGTAATATGCGTTTATATATCAATGCTCGGTGGGATTGTTCCACCATCCTAATTCCTAGGTGGTTTCACGTGAGCATCCATTCGTAGCGCGGGAATCTTATAGTAGTAAACCTTCAATATTGTTCCTTTGGAACGCAGAAGTTTTATAGGATTTTCATATATATTTCCTTGAAAATTTTCCTTTCTTATAAATAAAAAGACGCTACAAGATTCTCTAATACATCATGTGTATTCCAAAAACATGACTAGAACCGCATCATTGACTAATTCTTTTCCAAGGTGTACAATATATTCTTGGGATTGTGATCGATCGGTGCTTGTTGCTTTACACATATATATGCTGGTATATCTATCTATGTCTATATCTATCATGTGTGTGTTTACAGATAATGCAACTCTCTGCCACTTTAATTCAGTAGTGGCATATATGCATATGGCAGTGTTGCCTGCCTGCCTTTTGAACAGTTGCAAGCTAGCTAATGTCGCTCCGAATCTGTTTGCAGTGTGATTGCTCCAAGCTCGTGATGCTCTCTCTGACTTTCTGCATCCAAATGGATCACACACACTTGCAGATATTTTTGACATGTTATTCAGAACTCCAGATATTGCATTTGTGAGGTGATACAGTTTTGGCAATTTGCATGCTAAGAATGTCTGTTGTGTTAAATTAAACTAAACTAAAATCATTCTCTGGCGGTAAGACTCTAGACTGGCTTAATAATCTAAATTATGTTGGCATTTGTTCTTTGTCTTCGTGATGCAGCTAGACGTACGGATGCGCTGCAAAGTCTGTAATAATTTGGCTCTACCTTTTGATGAAGCAAAAGCTAGAATCTTTTTCTCATTATCTTAAAAAAAATACATGTTCCTATCATATTGTCAAGACTAATTAATTAAGAAGAGAGTAACACAGGAGGAAAAAATGATATGGTAATAATATTTTTTTTAAAAAAAAAACAAGAAGAGGGGCGCCATGGTCGAGCTAATACAAAGTTAACAGATATGGGGCATTTCTATATCAATCGTTGTCCGTCATGTTAGCACATACATCATAGTCACGTGAGAATCTTGAGACAAATCTAACGGTTCATTTGCTGCGTTAAGCTAGATATTTATATCCATAACTCTTTGCTAAGACGACGCACTGATACTGAGAGACGAAAGCTAGGAGAACAAGTGGGATTAGAGATATCTAAGTGGTGATAGCGACCTAGCGTAGGTGAGGGATACTGCCACTCAACTTGTGTGTACAGTGTTGTTGCTAACGCGTTAAGTATCCGGTCTGCAATTTTAACCAATCGCCACGGTGATGCTGATAAAGCCACAGTCACAATTAATTCTTCCATGCCTTCCAATAGTGCTCCAACAAAATTCCAAAAAATACAACGCCCAATTCCTTCAGACAAAATAATGAAATTAATCTCCATTTCATTCCAGAACAACTGTGCATATACATTTTTTTGGGGACTTTTTTTTTCGGCACTGTGGCATGGAGAGCTGGCCCTGTCCATGATTCCCAACTGTTTGCCCTTTCCCTTTTCCCTTGCTTTCTGTGCTGCTGCTGCTAAAACTAATAGAGTTACTGTATATTACTGTATCAATATATATGCAGCATCAGCTAGCTAGCTAGCTAGCTTTACATGTAGTACTAACATATATAAACAGCAGTTTTTAATAAGTTTAAAAGGTAGATCAATTTTTGCAAAAGGCAAGCAAACACCAGGATAAGATTAGCCAAAGCTTGATGGACACAGACCCTAAATCTGCACTAAGCATGTTAGCACATTCCTGGCAGATGCAGAGGCCAGATTTTTTTTTCTCATTTTTGCTTAACAAAATTCCCATTTTGCCTCAAAAAAAATTGTCACATCTATATGTACCATAAGCCAAAAGAAGCCGTATGCTACCTCAAAAGATACTCAACATGACTGGACCAAATGAAAACATCCTCACACAAAACGGATATATAATTGCGGCTGATTTGCAGTGTCAAAGATGGTGATCATGTGTCGATGATGCTGACTGATTGAAACTCTGCAGTAACCTGAGGACGACGTGATAACAAATTCTGGGGAAATCGCCGACAAGGACGGCGAGATGGGTTGAAGTTGCATGAACACGTCGCCATCGCCATCCTTTTCCTATCAATCTTGCAATGGCAATGAGAAAACATTGGTCTCATGCGTGTGAAAGCGAGGCATATATAGAACTGAATTATACACACCCTCCGTCCCAAGAATATAAGCATTTGTTTAGAATTTGTACCATAATATAAGTATTTCTAGGCACGGAACAATACACAGAAATCCATATATTTCCAGCCAATCAGATGTTTGAGAGAGGAATCTAAGCAATTAAAATTTAAAAAAATTAACCACTAATGTTACTGGAAGGAATTGTTTTTTTCTTAATTTTAGTATTTGTTAAATAATTTAAAGTGTTTATATTTTGATACGGAGGGAGTGCCTTGCAGATATGAATGCTCCTATATGCATATCCCCTGACCTGCCGACAGAGCTGCCGTCACAGCAACAGCTTGTGTCCATGCAGTGCAAGTGCAATGCGCTTTCGTTTTCAGGCACTGGTCAAGATTAATTAATTAACAGGATATATATATGTGCTGGTTCTTGTATCTATCAAGCTTTCAAGCCAGCCAGGCCTTGCCTAGTTGCATTTTTCTCTTTCAGAAGAACTCTTCTGCTCCCTCTGTTCAAACACTCGCAGATGGGCGAAAAATAGCAACTTGAAAGCATGTGAGGTTGCATTGCAAAAACATAAGTATGGAAGGTTGCAATAGGAGAGATTAAGATAAACAGGTTGTATCAGTTTAGGCATTTGAAACTGGTTGATGTACCTGACAATCATTCCTACTAATCAAACAGAGCTGTTAAACACTGAGAAACCAGAGCCTATGGCACTTGCTCTTTGCTGTACAATGCTGCTGTTGAACACTGAAAATAGATGATTTTTTTCAGAGAACGAGGCAGGCTAGGGGTTGCCTCTTGTTGGACGACAGACATGGTTGAGCTTCTTAGCATGGTCAGGCCGGTGGTGCTGGGTTCGGCACATGAAACCATACCAGCAGCTCTCCCTGTTAGCAGCATCAGGTGGAAGGAGCTGGAACAGAACATCACCATCAATATTAGAAGACTGGTATGATCTATGAATAAATGAAGCAGTGTAGCGGCGATCAAAGATTTTTACAGGTTCATGAGCTTACTATTGTTAAATGAAACATTTATATGTTGTTCTACTCAGGATATTAGAAAGCAACAAGGGTCCAGTGGTTAGAATAGGAGTCCAGGATTAGATCATGAAAGCAACTATAGAATATATGTGCAGCAAAACTAAGCAGTCGAACAAACCAAGTATTAATTCCATGTATAGTTTAGAGATATGTTGCAAAATTGACCATCCAAATAATTAGAACACCATTCAACAAAGTTGGTTTGGAACACAGGAAAGTTCTAGAACAATTTCTGTAAGACATGTTAAGTTTCAGAAATGGTGTGGCTTCAGAATACAGGGGACCTATCACATATGACTATTTAAAGAAGAGGAATTGATTAATATTATCATAAAGCATTCGCATCATGAAGAGGGATTGATAATAGTAATTATTAGTAACTGTGTGAAGTATACATACATTTCTTGGCATTGATACACGGAACCAGTAGAGCAGGAAATCGATGAACTTGCTGTAGCATTGGCTGCATTTGTTGGAAGTCCAAAATGAGATAAATGAGCAAGATGAAATCGAACTATTCTTGTAAACTAGGGAAAATAATTACTTGCAGACGTATGTCCTAGAAGTAATTGCATCAACATGGTTCAGCTGCAGCCTTGAGCGATCTGCATGCACAAAAGAACAGTATATCATACAAATGTGACAGATGGCATGTGCAGTAAGAACAGCATATCATACAATGTGACAGATGGGGGCATGTCCATTGTGCAACAAGATAGTAATCCGCTAAACAAAGAGAAAATTGTCCCCAGAAGTAGGTTTTCCTTCTCAACATTCAAGTCATACATAAATTTTGTCCATTCAAAGCAAAAACACAACTCAGGCACTGTGTAAATTGTTGCTATTAACAGGTCATTCGTATGCTAGAACAATCATGATGTAATCACGATGTAAGAAATGCAAAACTGCAACATGAATATGTACTACAACTAAATAACAAATATAATCAGATTTTGCATCAACGAAAAAATTAGCTTAACTAGATAGAAGGTTACCAAGCTCCTTATTGTCAAACTTCACTATCCACTCTGAGATTATAGCTTGCAATGCTTTGCCTGATTGCTGTATACATCTTTCTGTAATCTAGAGAGGAGAAAATACTATACTCAGTACTCACATGTGAAACTACTATCTGGGGTATAAAAGGAGCAATATGATAGTATAAGATCATGTTAAAACTTCCTACATCTTTCTCGTATTGATTGCCTCCATGTACTGTGTCAGGAACACTAGAGATATGGCGCTGAGAGATCTGCAAAGTTATGCAGTTATCCACACAACATGTCAAACAGTGAATATAAGTACACAACATGTACTGTATGATGATGGAGTACAGTGGGGTCTAAAAGATATAAGTAATAGATTATCTTACCATCTTGAAAGTTTCCTGATCACAGATTGGATTATGCTGACTTGAATTCACTCCTTGGGAACACCAATAAGCTCCACAAAATGCCCTATCACATCCCAAACCTGCAATATAAGGTTGATAGATTAGAGCCAGAAAATTAAAAAGAATACAGAGGATATAATTTTCATAAACATTCAGTAGGGAAAAGGTGCAATCAAGCTACTCATGATGCCTGCAAACTTCAAAATACATCTTGAGGCAATCGTGCATATCTATCATACTCCTCAATTATGTAATAAAAATAATTTTAGCTCATCTAATTGATACCAAGCATATTAGTATGGCAAGAAAAAAATATGAACATAGATATGTCCAGTTCCTAACATAACGGCAGCACACATGGTTACGTTGAATAATCAATCAAATAACAACTGAATTATAGAATTACAATCTTGTAATATGGTCAGAATTATCGGTTACATTTTTGTGGTATACTGGTGTCAGGTCTGGCTGGCATCATTCCTCCACATCCATTACACGGCAAGTGTGGAGCACCTGGACTGCACCTAAATCCACCAAATTCAGCACCTGCATTTATTTTTCTCATTTGAGTAACATGTCTAAAAAGAAGAATAAAAATATTAAAAATGAAATTTCAACACTTACCACATTGAGGGCATAGAAAATCAGCATGGTTAGTATGGTTAGCTTCATCATTTGAACGTGGCAAACGGCGCTTCCTTGACTGGATTTTCTGTTTCCCCAAAACCTAAGGTATGAACATTGACAGCAACTCAGAATCATGGGACTGATCATTTAAATACCAAAACAAATATACTTGCAACATATATATTATAGCATAGAAAACACCTATAACCTTGGTGAGTCGGGTATTAATTGTCCTGTGACTCAACTGGCTCTAATAATAAGGCATTTTATCCATCAGACAGACAAATTGTCATGTTCAGGGGTACTGTTCATGCCAGTTGATTTTAACAGATTAGATTGGGTTGGTATCTATTCCTTATTTTAGAGATAAGCTTCAGGGTCAAATTATCACAAGGATGGGGATTATACATTTCCGTTAAGCTAAGATGAATAAACAAGTCTCTAGTCAGCTCTGGTCTCTCTCATGGCAAGCTATTATAGATCTATTGCTCCCTCAATTGTACCCTACTTCACCTAGCTCTGTTCTACTTTGAGTCGTTGCCATCTGACCTCCCTCTGACAGATGTTTATCCCCATGGTGGATCTAAGAATCATCGCACCAGCATAAGACCATGGAAAAGGGATGAATGCATGCCATGCCTGTGAATTTTAGGTTAAAATACATCATAGACTGAATAGCAGAAATGTTAAAATACAACTGCTGCGCCTACTTAGATAAAGTTTCACAATTAAATTTCATATGAATTGAGTAATTAAAATTAGCCCCAACAATATTTTATGACAAAACTCATGCAACCTTCAATTTATATATAACATCACATTATCATGAGAAAGGCCTTGAATTGTCCATAATTACAAGCTGCCATTTTTTATTTGTAGGGAAGGCTAACTACAAGCTTTTTAAAGTTCAAAAGCTATCAACAGCAAAACTAAATATTTATCAGCAACTAATAACAAATGACTGAGGAAGGCACTTCTCTAAAATGAACAACAATATATAAACAAGTTAAAAAAGGGTGATGATTTTAAAACAATATTCGATTTTATGGCAGATAACAGGGACAAATATCAGTGCTGGCAGATAAGAGACTGGTGCAACACTTTATACAATCCATTGAGAAAATGGTGGAAATCAACAATTTCTTAGTAAGATTTTTAACTCACAATATTTGTCTTGACCGAGGCATATGACTCCAACAATGCAATCTCCTCATCAGACCGCTGTAGCGATGAAAAAGCTTGCAGTATAGCCTACAAAAGCAGAACTATAATAAACATCTCAGCTGTACAATAGGTAGCACTTAAACAGTATTGAGGAGTTAAGTCACTAAACACAACTATCACACCTCTTCAATATTATGTAGGAAGTGATTCCTACCAACTGATTGCACTGCCGTCCTACATTGTGGACAGGCAGCACTCTGACTTTTATCACGCGAATTAGCTGAAGACCTTCTTAACCACTCAGAGAAGCAACCGTTGCTTAAAAGGAATACAGAAATGAGCACCAATCAGAATTTTGAGATAAATCAAAAATAGCTAGGAAAATTGGCAAAAGTACCAGAAGTTGTGGAGGCATGGAGCAACAGTAACAACATCATGCCACAAATTTAAGCATATGCTGCACTTTGCATTCTCAATATCCAGCACAATCTGACATCATCATTTAAATAAAAGTTAGTGACGTTTATGCACCGAGGTTGTTGTTGATCAACATTCATTTCAACAAAATACCTTGATATTAGTTTTGTCCTGGTCATTCAGGCCTGTTATATCAAAGGTGTACAACAGATGCCCTGCAAGAAGATGGATAGCATAAATGCATTACATAGTGGTACAGTTCACCTGTTCAACATAACGGAATCACAAAAGGATAAACATTTGTAATTTGATAAATTGTTCGGAAGCACAATTACGAACATGCAACCATAGATTTTTCACTTTATAAACAGAAAGGTCTAGGAAACAATAAACATTCAAAATGACTCAATGAGTACATATATTCAGAGTCATGTGTAAACACTCATTTGGCTTCATAAAGGCATAAAATAGTCCACTTAAAAAAAATAGAAGACCATTAAATATACACAATCACCAATCTATGCATGAAATGCCAAACTCAAAATACATAGTTATCTCACCATCTTTCTGGGGTCCTGAAACAATTTCACTCCCCGGTTTGATGTCAACTGCTTCTTGCTGGATCACTCTTCCATCGACAATAATTGCATCCGAGCTTTCTCAATGGCACATGGATAATGTTAACGTACGATAGAGGTCCAATGAAACATACATTACAAGGATGACAAGACAGGCATCTAACATCAGCGAGAATTTGATAAAAGGAATAACAGAAGGTTGCAACACAGGTTGGCTATGATGTACGCACATAGAGAAACTATTTATATAAATATAGAAAAACTTCCTCATTTCCAACCTGCATGACCCTCCTGCCACCTTGGCCACAGAAGTGAACTTCCCTTCTCCTCTACCCTCCACCCCCCAAAAAAAAAACTCACCCATGACCACTCTGCCTCTTCCCTGTCTCCAGGGGCTCGCCTCTATCGATTTCAAATGAGCACGATTCAAAAGTTCATTTTTGGTTTGATCAATCAGGTTCAGAAGTTTGGAAAGTGAGTTATGGATAAGAAAATCAAGGCGCTTTAGAATCATTAGCAAATCTGAATCTTTTTTATCCACAGGAAACTTTTCTTTAATTTTGGTATTGGGAGGTGATCAAGAACACGAACACGATGCTACCACACCGCAACGATTCACATAATCCAAACGACAACAACTCACATTCAATCGCAATCAGTACGAACTTTTCTGCATTTTATAACCTTCGTCCAAACACGCATCATCAATGAATGGCATTTGTTCCCCCAATCCGATAAAACAAGATTGCAGAAAAAGAGCGTATCTTGCCTACAATGCACAGTCCAGAAGAGCAAAGCAGAAAAGGGGAGATACCTCAGATTCCGAATCGTCGCCGACGACGCGTCGCCATCGCCGCCGCCGCGCCTAATCTCGCACCACGCGGCCACCTCCCCGCCGCCGTCCGGGGTGACCCGGGAGCACACCACGGCGTCGTCCTCGGCCAGCTCCACCTCCGGGAACGCGGAATCGGAGGGCACTGCAGTGCAAGCAATGGCCAAGGGCAAGACCAACGAAAAGGTCAAGAATCAAGAACCCGTGCGGCGGAAGAAACCCAAGAAAAAGGAAGGGTGGGGTGGGGGAGGAGGGCGGCCGCACCTAGCTTGGCCCAAACGCCACCGGCGGCGTCCGGCGAGGAGGACGCGCAGGGCTGGGAGCTGGAGCACTCGCCGGCGTCCATGGCGGCGTCTTCTTCTCCGGCCACGGGTGCGTGGAGGCGTGCAAGGGAAGGAGGAAATCCACCCGGTTTTGGGGTTTTTCACTGCAATTAGTGGGGGCCACGTAGCAGACGAGAGGTGGGTGGGCCCATTTCAGTTTGTGGGGCCCAAAAGTTAACGGGAAAGGTCTACATGGGCTTTCATGGGCCTGAAATTCAGTTTTGTGTCAAATTTCAGGAAGCCCTTCTTTGTTAGTTTGTTGGGCTGATAAATGAACAGAATGCTATTGGAGTAAGTCCACTTTGACTCCCAGTAATATAGGTCCACTCCAATATGATTCATATCCTGAACTGCAATGCCGGATATCTTGACCGCCTAACTATTAAAACCAATATAATTTGACTCTCTTGATAGTAAGTGATTTCGTTGATATGGCACGTTGACCTAATCAAACTAGTTGCGTCAATATGTAGGGTCCACGTATTAGTGACCCTTCTCTTTCTTCTCCCTTGCTCTCCCTATCTTCTTCATCCTTCCTCTCTCCTCCTCCCCCTTCTCCCCGCTAGCCAATCAGCCCTCCCCGGAGGAAAGAGAGTCTCATCCCTCCTCTCCATAGCGGCGGAGGTGGCGAGACAACGAGGGGAAGTGGCGGTGGCTGGCAGCAAGCACTGTCCTCCTCTTTGACAGGGAAGGTGCCTGTCCGACCGGCTCCTCTTCGACCCACGCGCATCGGCCATGAGCTCCATACTTCATCAACCACGAGGAAGCGGATTTGAAGGAGCCATCATCGCCGCCAATCCTTCACCGCCCGATAGCTTAATCGAAGCTGCAACGAGCCTACAACCCTAAGGTGGAGCCTAATGTCGGACCCCAATCATTGGCGCCCTTCACCAATGTTGTCAGCCTCGCGCTCCTCGCTCGCCATCGCCGATGACTTGACGCCACCATCATCACACCCCTGCGCGCCCTCTGCGTCTCCATTCTCCAAGGTCAAGTCCTTGGAGCAACGACGACTCCTGGCATGCATGCCTCGTGCGGCGACGGTTGTCTCGTCGGCTTCTTCCGCCATCGCCACCACTCACCTCCTAGGGGGAGGACGAGGAGCGGGCTTTGCACCGCCCACTGTTAGGGTGTTGTGCTCTTGTATGAAAGAAAAGAGGAGAGAGGGGAAAATAAGAGTCGAGGCTGACATGTGGAACTCACAATTTTTTTGCCACTTATATGTGAGTCCCAAGTCTATTTTTCATCTTCCTAATGACTGAGCTACCATGTGGACACCACGGCAGCAAAAATTACCTGCAATACAGTCGAGGGAGTCGTTTTGAACTACTTTAATCGTTTGGGGGGGGGGGGCAATATACCCGGTTTCTAGGGAGTGAAATTGGATCTTTTCCTCCGCTACCACCTGGTCTGGCCCACAAGGTCCACTCGTCACTAGTATAAGTATGTTTTCCTTTTTTTTTCCCCAAAATTATATGCATGTTTCACATATACTGTACATCAATTTTGAAGAAACTCAATTTTAAAACTTTCATCTCAAACTTTAAAATTTTTAACTCAAATATTAAAAATATCATATCAAAATTCAAAACATACAACTTAATATTTTAAACTTTTCAAATAAATTTTGAAACTTTCAACTCAACTTTTTAAAAACTCTACCCATAATTTGAATTATTTAAACTTTCATCTTCAAATTTAAAACTATCAACTCAATTCTTTTTGGTTTTTTATTGTAAAAAATGTGTTCTCTAGCTGCATCCTCAGCATAGTTGCGTCTAATAAGCACCCCCTAAAAACGAATTATGGATTTCGTTTTTCGTGTGATGCAAAATTACTTGGATAGTGAGGGACTGGTTTGTTTATTAGGAGGAAAAGATAGGTTTTATAACATACACTCGCAAAATGAAATTATAGAAATCAACTTCCACTTCCATCTATGAAATTGGTTATCTTATCAAATTATATGAGTATATATAAAGCTATATAATCATGGAATTGTTCCAAACATCCTCAATAGACATAGAAGACAAATCAAATATCACGGTTTGAATTACGCATAAAACCATCGAGCACAACACACCACAAGCGAAAGCAACTTTTGACAATATTTTTTACACAAGTCACATGATTGGTCGTTTCTCACTGTTTAACGGGAAAAAAACATCCAAGAAAAGTTGGACTTGATGTCCTTCGTTATTGGACAATATAACGTTTTTTTTTTGGAATATTTTTAGCTGGTACAAATGGACAAAGTAGCTTTTTCTTGGTCTTTAGCAGCCACCGATCGTCGTCGGCTGGTGTCGATTATTCAACCTTGATGACATCGAAAGAATTTCCAGCTTAAAATATCTAAGCAAAAGTTAATGCCCTTATCTCATGCCATTTTTTCTCGTTAGTTTTCCTACTACTGTACTTTATTATTAGGAGTTATCCAAACAATTATGGAATGAGGTAATGAGGATCAGTAAATCCATTTAAGCAGGGAAGGCAGAAATCAAATCCATATGCTACATGGAAAAATCTTATCATCCGTGGAAACAATCTGTCATCTAAGCTTAGTGTCATTTAAGAGCAATGTTGAAAATAATATACGGGCCATCTAAAGCTTAGTGTCGGTTAGGCGGGACTTCTAAAGTTTAGTGTCGGTTTGACGGTTTGGCAGCTAAAATAATAATTTAGCACCTCGTTTTCCAATTTTCCAAACGTTTCACGGGGGAGTTTTGCACCGTGACTTCCTTGGGAACCAATTCTCGTAGTTATGACTCGTTTGAAATTAAAGGAAAAAAATAGAAGATTTTTGGGATTTTAAGAGGATTTCGAGTCCTCTACTCTAACCAGCCAGAACTAGAATACAATACTAAACACCCACACAATCTCGATTGAACATGAGAGAGAGAGATGGCGATCTCTTCTTTTCTAGGTCAACTATGATATCACTGGTAGAGAAACGTTTTTTACTCCCGGTTTGCAACCCCCTGTAGTCCCGGTTTTTCAACCGGGACTACGAATCCGGGACTAAAGATCGCTATCTTTAGTCCCGGTTCAAATACCCGGGACTAAAAATCGATCTTTAGTCCCGGTTGGTAAGATGGAGCCATTTTTAACCCAGGTTGGTGTTGGTGTTACCAACCGGGACTAAAAATGAAGCCACATCCGGTTAGTATTTTCTTTTTTCTTTTATTGTTTTTTACTTTGAATATTGATTTCACCATATCCCCAAATCATCCCCAAAATCACAGAACAAAAGATCATCTCCAAAATCCCCAAATCATCCCCAAAATCACATAACAAAAGATCATCTCCAAATCCCAGATCGATCATCTACAAATCCACCATATCCAAATACATCACAGATAATCAAAACAAATACATCACAAATTCTAAAAAGAAACATCACAAATACATCACATATTTACATCGCACAGATCAAATACACCACAAATTCTCAAAAGCAAATTCATCGCTTCACCGCTGTCACCTGGCCGCCGCCCTCCGCCAGGCCGCACGACCGCCGCTGCGGCCGCTTCTACCGCACGCGCCGCCTGCGCCGCCGCCACCCTCCGCCGGCCCGCCGCCCAGTCGTCGCCACGGCTGCATCCGCCGCTCGCCGCGCCGGCCGCTTCTGCCGCACGCGCCGCCTGCGCCGCCTCCACCCTCCGCCGGCCCGCCGCCTAGCTGCCGCCGCAGCTGCATCTGCTGCTCGCCGCGCGCGGCCGCCGCCTGCGCCGCCGCCGCTGTATCCGCCGCCCGCCACCGCCCTCCGCCGGGCCGCAGCCCAGCCGCCGCCGCTCGCCGCGCGCGGCCGCCGCCTGCGCCGCCGCAGCTGCATCCGCCGCTCGCCGCACGCGGCCGCGCCTGCGTCGGGGAGGGATCTGCCGCGGCCGCAGGGGAGGGGGAGGAGAGGGGAAGGGGAGAAAGGGGGAAGAAGAGAAGAAGGAGATGAAAAGATGAGAAGGGAGGAGAAGATTGGAGAAGATAAGGGAGAGGAGGAGAGATGAGTGGATGAGAGGATAAGGCTGTTGGTCCTCTCGAGGAGGCGCGGTGCGATTTTTTTTTGTTTTTCTTTTGTCTCGGTTGTTATAAGCAACCGGGATTAAAATAGATCTTTAGTCCCGGTTGGTAACTAACCGAGACTAAAGATCATAGGGGGGGTCTGACACAGCTTGCCTTCTTTCGAACCGGGACTACCAACCGGGACTAAAGATCAAAAAGTGACGTTAGCCTTTTCAACCGGGACTAAAGATCATTTTTAGTCCCGGTTCTTATTCAAACCGGGATTATTATGGATTTTGGGCAACCGACCAAAGATGGTTTCTCTACCAGTGTATTATTGACATGCAAAAACCAATGTTCAATTCATACTTCAAATCGATTGGATCTTGAATCATGCCTCGAAGAATACTATGGCAATTCATACTTGCTTAAGAAATAAGAGAGAATCTCTTGGAAGAGACGGCTATGCCTCTCAAGCGATATCGGTTGAAGGTATCTGTACTCATCTTTATTAGATCCCTCTCACTTGGTTGACAACCAATGAGCCCCTTATAGGAGGAACTCATGTACACCTTTTCGAACCTCTTCGGGACCCTGGAAATGAAATTCGGACGACTTTCTTCTCTCTCTAAAAGAAGACTTTCACAGCTTGAGTTCATCGGCGTCTTGGCGTCCCACTTTTTTCCGCTTATCATCATGTTCTGAATTAGGATCCTATAGAAAGCCCCTTTAAAACAAAGAATTGGATCTCCGGGATTCTTTTGAAATTTCTATGGGCATGTTTTATGGGATTTTTTTTTATGAAACACGCTCAAGATTTCATTAAAACCATGTTGAAAGCTCATTTACATACGTGTAATATTTGTGGAAGCTAGGATTTGACTGGAGTCATGCACCCACGACTCCAACACCACACCACTGATGCTTTTCCTATTTCATGCGAATTTTGGAGCTGCAACCTCTTAATATTTTTTTCTTTGTGTATACTCCTCTCAGTTTTTCCTTTACTCCATTCAAACTGTTTTGTTTTTTTTCATTCCCTAAGATAAAAAACGTGATGATATTCTAATGCTGCGTGTTTAAGAATCCTGCGTTTGAAAAGAGCCCTTAGTTTTTTTAGTACTTTCATTTTTTTTCGATTACTCGTAGTTAGATTTCTTTTATATAGGATTACACTATATTGAGTTTGGTGCTAAAATTTTTTATTGTTATTATTCTTTCAAATATGTCACGAGATACTACCGATAAACAAGTATTGCATACGCCGGCTGTCATGATGTCATCTACAATGCACTCTCTCATGCTATGTTTGAGCTGTAGATAAAGAGAGGAGATTTCCCTCGCTTTTCATGCGCATGCCTTTTAAACTATTAAATATTTTTCTTAAATAATTTTTATAGAAAAAATGTTTTAAAAAATCATATTAATATATTTTTAAATTTTAAAATAATTAACTGAATTAACTATACGTTAATGACTCACTTCATTACACGTATCTTCTCAATCTTCTCCCTTCCTCCACCATGAAAAACATTTAACGTGGGTCAGTACCTACCGAAGAGACTATCACAAAACTTAGAAATAAACTTGCAAAAAATTAACCTTTCTTTTGATTCCAAAAAAAAATTTGAGGAAATCTTCATGTTAGACTAGAGAAGTATTAGTTTTGGATAAGCCAAATATCCGAAAAGATAGAAAGTGGAGACGACAAAGCTTTGAACAGTGTGGGTGGCACGTCCGAAGTTCGCCGGGAAGAAGAAAGAAAATCCGAAGGCGCCAGGAAATGGGGGAGAATTAATGCTGTCTATAAATAGTAAGCTCACCGGAGCCAGAAATGCGGATAGTCTCCTCCCTCCACCACCACCACCTCCTTCCACGATCCCTCCCCCTCTTGATCCCATCCGCCGCCGGAGGAGATCTTGCCGTTCTTGCGCTTGGATCTAGACCGCAAGATCGGTGAACGGCGACGCTCTCATTGGTTGGTTTATTAGTTGGCTGGTTTCTCTCTCCTCGTCGATTCTTCTCCGGCGAACACGCCGCCGCCGCCGCTTCGGATTCAAGGTATTCTTCTCTCCTCGCCGGCCGCCGCCGCTGATTTTGCTACGGTCTTCGATTGATTGCTTGCTGTCCGGTGTCAAATCCGAATATATTCTTTCTTGATTTCTTCTCAGGATCTTGCATTGCCTGTCTTTCCAATTTCACATTGGATTTACTCGAACTGATTCGTGCTGAAACAAATTTGACCAAGAAAAGAAGAGGAGGTCATCAGCAGGATGAAGAGGGTGTCGTCCCACGTCTCCATCGCCTCGGAGGCGGAGATCAACCTCGATCTCTCGCGGCTCCTCATCGACAAGCCGAGGCTGACGCTGGAGAGGAAGAGGTCCTTCGACGAGCAGTCGTGGAGTGAGCTCTCCCACCGCCAGAACGACGGCTTCGACAGCATCATGCACTCCCCGGCGTTCCCCTCGGGCTTCGACTCGCCCTTCTCGCTGGGGACGCTCGGTGATCCCCACCCGCTCGTGAACGAGGCGTGGGAGGCTCTCAGGAAGTCCGTGGTGTACTTCCGGGGGCAGCCGGTTGGGACGATTGCCGCCGTCGACCATGCGTCCGAGGAGGTGCTCAATTATGATCAGGTGAAATCGGAATCCTCTGCTTGTTCATATGGTTTCTGAAAACTGAATCTCGTTTTTATGTTCTTGTTGTATGATGTATTGAATGTTTGGTTTATACATGTTGAAATCAGTACCTGAGTAATCTGGTGTGTTTAGGATCTTTGTAGTGTTTGATGCTTAGCCTTTGTTTGATGTTGATATATATGATTATGTCGATTATCGAGCAATATAATAGCTTTACTGAATATATTATGTAGGCTGTTAAATGGTAACTATATCCATCATCACTGGCATGGAGTCCTGCAGAGCAAATTCGTTTGTTTTACTAGCACTTATGATGACCTGTTCAGTTTGATTATCTAAGCAGTATGGCTTTGAAAACTTTGCTTGCTTTCTAGCTAGGATTCTTCTGCATGCTTGTTTTTTCAATGTTTTTTTCCCCCTGAATCAAATGAATAGTTCAGTTATGCTTCACCTCTTTCCTGATGTTATCCTTACAATGGCAGGTTTTTGTGCGAGATTTTTTTCCAAGTGCATTGGCTTTTCTAATGAATAATGAGACTGATATAGTGAAAAACTTCCTCTTGAAAACACTCCACCTGCAAAGCTCGGAGAAAATGGTAGACCGTTTCAAGCTTGGAGCAGGAGCGATGCCTGCAAGTTTCAAGGTGGATCGTAATCGGAACAGAAACACTGAAACTTTAGTTGCAGATTTTGGTGAGAGTGCAATTGGGAGGGTGGCTCCAGTGGACTCTGGATTTTGGTGGATTATTCTACTCCGGGCATATACAAAGTATACGGCAGATACTAGTTTGGCAGAATCACCAGAGTGTCAGAACTGCATGAGGCTGATACTGAACCTATGCTTATCTGAGGGATTTGATACCTTCCCAACTCTGCTCTGCACAGATGGCTGCTCAATGATAGATCGTCGAATGGTATGAGCTTTCACCTTGATTTGATTTATTTCTTGACATGTATCATTAAAAACAGTACAGTTCAGTTGATGTGGCAACAAAGAAGCTGAATGTTTCTGCTTTTTCTTCTTAGAACCAAGCAAGTTCTGTTTTTTCAAAACATTTTTTTAATAAAACGGGCAGAAATCTGATATTCAAAGCACAATGTCCGGGAGCACTGCATTGTTATTCCAAGTTTCAAGTATAAGCGTTGTCTTCTTAACCTTCTCTGAAAGAGATACTACGTAGTTTGAATTTACTTAAAAATGGATAATAGTGCTAACAGGCATTTGTAGTAGTATAATACTATAATCTCATTCCTAGAAGTTCTACTTTTTGAACTACAATTTTATAATTGGTGATTGAGATCCTTATCATTACATGACTGTTTGGCTCAAATGTTAAATCTACTATTATTTCCAGGGTATATATGGTTATCCTATTGAGATCCAAGCTCTATTCTACATGGCGTTGAGATGTGCTCTGCAGATGCTTAAGCCAGATGGTGAAGGGAAGGATTTCATAGAAAAGATAGGGCAACGGCTACATGCTCTAACCTACCACATGAGGAATTACTTCTGGCTAGATTTCCCACACCTGAATAACATATACAGATATAAAACAGAGGAGTATTCACACACTGCTGTGAACAAATTCAATGTCATCCCGGATTCAATCCCTGACTGGGTGTTTGATTTCATGCCATGCCGGGGAGGCTACTTCCTTGGCAACGTGAGCCCAGCTATGATGGACTTTCGGTGGTTTGCCCTTGGAAATTGCATTGCCATTATATCATCTCTGGCTACTCCAGAGCAATCAGTGGCAATAATGGATCTGATTGAGGAGCGGTGGGAAGAGCTAGTTGGTGAGATGCCTCTGAAGATATGTTACCCTGCAATTGAGAACCATGAATGGAGAATAATCACTGGCTGCGACCCGAAGAACACCCGGTGGAGTTATCACAATGGAGGATCATGGCCAGGTTAAAGTTTTCCTTTTGCACTGTGCTAACTTGAGATGATTCTGTTGCTGATCCTTACTATGCATTACTCTTCATAAAAATTAGTCATGTCCAATATTATGGCTGATAGCTTAGATGTCAATTCATCACACACAATAATAAATAGGTAAACTAAAGTTTATTCTGAAATCGATCACATAATACTATTCAACATTCACCTCTTCTGATAATGACTTTGTTCTAATAATTTTTATTAATCAAGTCTTATACTGTAAGATCCTTAATGTCATACAGAAGCTGTAAAAACTAACTTTTTGGGGGTAGCTAAGGTGCTTATGGCTATGAAATTTTGACTTCTTCATCTGTTTTCATCAAATTGAACAGAACCGACAGATCCCTTTGAGGGTTGAGTGTGGCACTTTTTTTTTTCCTAAAGTTGATCCGATCTTCGTGTTCCCTAGATAGTTGGCGAAATGTGATTCTGATGTTCACAACCAAAGTCACCTGAATCCTCATTCCAAGATCTTAACGTTTATGTGTGTGTTCTCCCATCTGCAGTTCTCCTGTGGCTGCTGACAGCAGCCTGCATCAAGACTGGGCGTCCGCAGATGGCGAAGCGCGCCATTGAGCTCGCCGAGTCCAGGCTACTGAAGGACGGCTGGCCAGAGTACTACGATGGCAAGCTGGGACGGTTCATCGGCAAGCAGGCCAGGAAGTTCCAGACATGGTCCATCGCTGGCTACCTCGTAGCCCGTATGATGCTGGAGGACCCGTCGACGCTGATGATGATCTCCATGGAGGAAGACCGGCCGGTGAAGCCGACCATGCGACGGTCAGCATCATGGAATGCCTGAAATGTTTTGATAGAATTTTTTTTTCCCAAAGAGAGGTTCAATGTGGAAACTTATAGGAGTTTTGTCCAAACATGAAAATGGGGTTCAAAATTTACTGTAACTGTACTGTCAGTTAGGACAGAAGTGTATACGATAGATCCAAGTCGTTTCAGAGCAATTTTGTCCAACTTTTCGTATCTGGCTTCATCAATCCAACAGAGAAGAAGTTTTTGTTGGTGAAACATTTTTGCAATAATTAAACAGTTTTGTCTTGACATATATACTAGCATATGTTTCTGTGATGGATAATTCTTTGTAATACTTTGTAGGACTTTCTGTTAATATACTCCTCACATATTTTCATTGTGGAAGGAAACACCAAGGACTTTTGTATGATTGTGGCGCCATTGACGTTTACGATATCCTGTGAACATAAGTCTTTCGTGCACACACCAATTAACAAATACCATTGAAAATTTTAGAAAAAAAAATCTGTGCATTTACTTTCAATATTATTACACTTTTAGTTGCAGATTGAGAAATACAATAAGAAATAAGTGGCATTACGGCATTCAGTAATTCAGTAAAAAGAAAAAAAAACAACGACAAGATCGTCGGTTTGGAAATAGGGTAATATACTGGTGGCAAACAGTAAAAAAATCCAAAATATTTTATAGTCTAAACAAACGGAAGGTTTCAAAACTTCTTGAAATTTAAAATCAAGGATATATATCAGATTTCTGATAGGACAGGACTAGAGGAACAGGCCGGGGAGCAGGGTTCGATATATCGCACCGGCACTTTCTATCGGAGGGCACCGATACGACGGAAAAATTCGGTCCGAAATAATTTGAAATTTAAATAAAATATGGTTCAATTTGAATAATTTTGCTAAATTCAAAAAAAGAAAAAAATCCAAAATTTTTAGCCGAACTAATTTAGTTCCAAATAATCCGCGGGGAGGGGGGGGGGGTGGCTTGCCGGTGAGGCGGTAAGTATTCCAAATAAACTCATCTAGGTTTTTGTACCCATACGTAAATAAACACGTGATCTCCAAAACTCCGATCGATCGGCTCGCGGCGCCGCTCATGGAAACCCTACGGCCGGTTGCGACGGCGACGGCGACGCTGCCTTCCGGCGTTCCGCCGCCGGCGGCGGCGGCGGCGGCCAGAGGCTACCCAGGGTGGGTGATGCTCATGCCCTACGCCACGGCCGAACGCGAGGTCGACGACTCGGAGTACTCCACCTCCAACTCCGGTGGAGCCAAGATCACCGGGGCGGCCTCCCGCTCCTCGTCCGGCCATCTCGTCCGCGTCTCCCTCCGCCTCGAGTCGCCACCGGCGGCGTCGGGGCTAAGCTTCCACTGCTCACCGTGCGGCGGCTCCGGATACGGAGCTCATCATTACCGGCCCTCGATGTACGTCGTCGCTGCCCACGGCGACTCCGTGCTCCTCGAGATGCATTACCAGAAGGAAGGGTACCAACAATACGGGATCGATTACTTCTTCTACAATGCCGGCGACGGCGACGAGGACCCACCACGGCGGCCGCCGTCGTTGTCGCTCTCCCGACTTATCAGGGTACCAATACCAAGCCGCCCCGGCTGCGTGGAGGTAGCACCGGCCTCCTCGTGCGCCGCTGCGGCGACGACGACGACGACGAGCTCGTGGTGGCGGCGCTCCTCACCGAGGAGTACCGCAGGCGCGACACGCTGGAGGGCGCCGAGCTCGTCGTGCTCCGCTCCGGCGAGTGGAGCGCCACGCCGATCGCGCCGATCGTCCACGACGACGGCAAGGGCGAGGAGCTCTCCTACTGGGAGACCGACATGGCCGTCCCCGTCGGCGACCGGCTGCTGTGCTACGTCGACCTGTACCGCGGCGTCATCCTCTGCGGCGACGACCTGTTCGACGAAATTCCCCCGCGGCTGCAGTACGTGTCGCTCCCCGTGGAGGCCCCCGCCGGCGCGTTCGACGAGGAGCACTTCGACCGCCAGGGCGACAACTATCGGCGTTGTCTGCTCAACACTCGAACCGTCGTCTGCGCCATCGACGGCGGCGGCGCCGCGCTCAAATTCGTCGACATCTCCTCCCGCTGCTGCTGCGGCAGCCTGGGCAAGCACACCACCTGCGACCGTTCGAGCCGCGCCTTCGTCATCAGAACCTGGACACTGAGGATCGACGGCGACGGCGACGACGACATGGCGTGGACCATGGACGCCATGATCGACGCCGCCGAGCTTGGTCCCTCGACGCCTACTCCGCCCTCCCACGGAGCTTTCCACTACACCCCATAGTGAGCATGGATGATCCAAATCTCGTCTGCCTCATTGTGGACGAAGAACGCAAACGGGGTGCACATTACGTCGCCGAAGAGGTGGTATGGAAGATCATGATGGATACAAGGAGCAAGGCACTAGTGTCGGTTTGGCGCGGCGACGGTCGGTGCCATTGGCGACAGCCACATGGATACACTTGTATTCCTGTCAAAATCCCTGACTGCTTTGCTACCTATGTGAGTTATAGCAAAGCCACGACAATGTTGCCAGCGATGGTCGACAAGATACCAATTGCAACACCAACTGCAACCGGAACTGGCACTAATTTGTCGCAATCTTTGCCATCCGAGTCATCTCCCCAAAGTCTGTATGTGTTAATGGCTTCTCCTGGGGAGATCTTGGTAGCACTTGAAGAGATACCTGGGTTGGATTGTGATGATTTGCTAACAGCTTATAGCATTCTTTGTCGTGACAATGGCCGTCTATTCAAAGCCCTTATGGGGCTCCCAATGAGTATGAGGAAGAAATTGTTGCTGATAGAAATTAAGGCTTATCTAAACTGTCATGTCTGCTCTACATGTACAACATGATCATGATATATTGGAATGTCTTTTGTAAATTACTTTTGTTGGTACTAAGTATACATTGTGTGATTAACTATTGGATTGTGTTGATTCTGGTGGATTGTTTTTCTTATTTTTAATTCTTTTACACTTGGAAGAATGGTGCCAATATTATGGTTCATAGCTTAGATGTCCAATATTATGGTTGATAGCTTGTTGACGATCCTTAAATGTTAAGTGTGCCATCCATTCCTGCAGAAAAAAAACTAAAATGAAACACTGGGCATAGTGGTAGAGTTTATTACTAACTATTTCCACAGGTGTTAGTGAAATATTTGTATGCAGGTAATTCTGTATGAAAACTCACCTGCCATGTGAAGAAACATTGTATCACAATCACCCGCTATGCGAAGAAACACATATCTGGCCAATCAGACGTGACCACACGGATTTAAGGGCTCATAAATCAGAGTAAAACTGATATAATTAGGCTTATCCACCATGCATTGTCATAAGAACCCACATGTCAGCCTCACAGAAAAGGTCGGTGTCTTGAGGCGGTGGAAGTGGTTGGGCCGAACAACCAACACGGCCCCCCGCCCCCACCTTCCACATGGAGAGTTCTCATTGGCTCCCAATGATGGTTATGGGTGGTAACCGCCATTCACAACCGTCATTAAATGCTATAAAAGGAGGAGAGACACTCTCACTTTACATCACACAACTCAGGCAATGATCTTTTTATTTTCATTCATACTAGAGTCGAGCTCACCGAGTCTTGCCTACTGAAAGACGGCTAGCTGGAGTACTACGACGGCAAGCTCGGACGGTCAAGTAGGCTAGAAAGTTTCGGACATTGTCCATCATCGGCTACCTTGTGGCATGTATGATGTTGGAAGACCCGTCGACGCTGATAATGACCTCCATGGAGGAAGACTGGCCAGTGAAGCCGACCATGCGATGGTCGGCATCATGGAATGCCTGAATGTTTCGATAGATTTCATTTTCCAAAGAAAAGTTTGATGTGGAAGCTTATAGGAGTTGTGTCTACCAAACATGAAAAAGGGTTCGAAATTTAGTGTAATTGTACTGCCAGTTAGGACAGAAGAAGTGTATACGATAGATCGATCCAAGTCGTTTCAGACCAATTTTGCCCAACCTTTTGGTATATGTGGTTTCATCGATCCAACAGAGAGAAAGTTTTTGTTGGTGAAACATTTTGCAATAATTAAACAGTTTTGTCTTGACATACATACTATATTATATATGTTCATGTGATGGATATTTTTTTGGAATAACTATTTTCATTTTGGAATAGCTAAGAATTTTCATATGATTGTTTGTGGCGCTGTTAATGTTTACGGTACTTGACATCATAGGAATCTATCGTGTGCACACACCGTATATATATCTGCCAATAAATAAACAAATGTCAGAAAAAAAGTACTGCTTTCAATATTATTTTATTTTTGAGAGCGGATTGAGAAATACGACAAAGTGGCATTATGACATTCGGTCAAAAGAAAAAAAAAGATGACAGATGATCAGTTGGGAAATACTAGTGAAAACAATCCTAAATATTTTGAAGTCTTTTTTTGAACGGATAAATATTTTGAAGTCTAAACAAACGGAAAGTTATAAATCTTCTTGAAATTAAAATCATCTGTATCAGATTTCGAGAAACGTCCGGGGGTCAGATTTCGAGAAACGTCCAGTGATCTTTCGGCTAGCTCCACAAGATACATCCTGAGTTTAAAGTCCCATCTTTTTTATTTATTTATTTAATATTAGATCCTTTCTTGATATTCGTGTTTTTTTATACTGTTTCAGATTTCCCATAGAACTAGAGGGCCTAGAGGCACACCGGCCGGGGAATATTTTGCAAATAAACTCATCTGGGTTTTCTTTGTGTAATTAATTCCATAACTCCGTCGACCACTCGAGCCCCATTAGATCGGCTCGCCGATGCTCATGGAAACCCTACCGCCGCCGGCGGCGGCGGCGGCCGGAGGCTGCCCAGGGTGGGCGATGCTCAACCACTACGCCGAACTCGAGGTCGAGGGCGATGGCGAGGACTCCACCTCCAACTCCGGTGGAGCCAAGATCACCGAGGCGGCCTCCCGCTCCTCCTACGGCCATCTCGTCCGCGTCTCCCTCCGCCTCGAGGCGCCACCGGCGGCGTCGCAGCTAAGCTTCCACTGCTCGCCGTGCAGCAAGCACAGAGTTCACGGACCCTCGATCAACGTCGTCGCCGCCCACGGCGACTCCGTGCTCGTCGAGATGCATTACGAGAAGGGAGAGAACGACGAGCACTTCGATTACTTCGTCTACAATGCCGGCGCCGCCGCCGTCGCCGACGAAGACGGCCTACCACGTCCGCCGCCGTCCTTGTCGCTGTTCCCGACTTACTGGGTCCCATTGTCAGAGGTTGAGAAAACGGCGTATCGTCCGCATCAGAGCGCCAAGGCGCACCAGCTGCGTGAAGGGAGCACCGGCCTCCTCGTGCGCCGCGGCGGCGGCGGCGACGGCGAGCTCGTGGTGGCGGAGCTCCTCACCAAGAGGCGCCGCAGGCGCGACACGTTGGAGGGCGCCGAGCTCGTCGTGCTCCGCTCCGGCGAGTGGAGCGCCACGCCGATCTCGCCGATCGTCCACGACGACGGCAAGGGCGAGGAGCTCTCCTACTGGGAGGCCGACATGGCCGTCCCCGTCGGCGACCGGCGGCTGTGCTACGTCGACCTGTACCGCGGCGTCATCCTCTGCGACGACGTGTTCGACGAGCAGGCCCCCCTCCGCCGCCGGCCGCGCTACGTGCCGCTCCCCGTGGAGGCCCCCGCCGGCGCGTTCGACGAGGAGCACGACCGCCGCGGCGGCAACCGGCGGCATTGCCTGCTCGACACCCGAACCGTCTGCGCCATCGACGGCGGAGCCACGCTCAAGTTCGTCGACATCTTCCCGCGATGCTGCTGCGGCCGCCGCGGCGCGACGCAGTGCGACCATTCCGGCGGCGCCTTCGTCATCCACACCTGGACAATGAGGATGGACAACGACGGCGACATGTCATCATGGACCATGGACGCCATGATCGACGCCACCGAGCTCTGGTCCCTCGACGCCTAAGCGGCCTCCCACACACGAATCCACAGTTACCCATCGTGAGCATACATGACCCAAACCTCATCTACCTCAGTGTGCGCGGAGAACGCAAACGGCGTAAACACCGCGTCGACGACGACGACGACGACGACGAGACGATGTGGAAGGTCATGATGGACACGAAGAGCAAGGCACTAGTGTCGGTTTTGCGCGACGATGATATTTTCTCATGGCTACTTCCATATGGATGCACTTATATTCCTATCAAAATCCCCGACCACGTAGTAAGCTGTGGCGATGTCACAACAATGCCGCCGGCGAACATCGACAAGCTGCCAATTACAACCGAAATCAGCAGTAATTTGTCACAATTTTTAGCATTGGAGTCATCTCCCAAAAATCTGCAGGTGTCAAGGATGGCTTCTCCTGAGGAGATCTTGGTGGCACTCGAAGAGATACCTGGGTTGGATTGTGATGATTTGCTGAAAGCGTATGGCATTATTTGTCGTGACAATGGCTGCCTGCTTAGATCTCTTTTGGGGCTCCCAATGAGTATGAGGAAGAAATGGTTGTTGATAGAAATTAAGGCTTATCAGGACTGTCCTGTCTGCTATGCATGTACAACAGATCACCTACAACATGATTGATTGAAATATCTGTTGCAAATTAATTTTGGTGGCACTAAGCATGCATTGTTGATTCTATCAAACTGTGATATTTATTTTTAGATTTTCTTTACATTTGTAAAAGTTGAGCCAATATTATGGCTAATAGCTTAGATGTCAATTCAGCACCTACACTAGTAAAAAAAAAAAAGGTAAACTCAAGTTTATTCTTGAATTGATCTCATAATGCTATTGAACATTCACAAGAGAAGAACTTTCTGTTGGTGAAACATTCTGCAATAATGAAACAATATGTCTTAACATTAATGCATATGCACATTTCTCTGATGGATATTTCTTAAGTAGGATTTTTCATTGATTTGTGGAAGCACCCAAGCCTTTAAGATGAACACAATGAAGATTGCTTGTGTTGCCACAAGCAAGGTTCACAATTTCCGAAATTTCAGTTCTTTTAGAGGGGTCCGATGGAAATGGCTACCGGTCAAATATTTTGATCAAAAGGGTCAAAATCAGTCAAAATTCTTAATTCCTCCCTTTCTCTTCCCTATTTGTATCACTTGATTCACTTCCCTGGTCCCTTGCTATTGTTTCCTCACGAGGCGACATCTTCCTTGCAGCTAGGCGGCGCGCCGCAGCTATTCCTCGGCGGCGGTTGGAACGGCGGAGGAGCAGCCTCTCCGGCGAAGTCGACGACAGGCGCCGAGGTGGGGCGGGCGCTCCCCACACCGATGCGGCGCGCAGCGGTGGAGCGGACACTTTGGAAGACATTGATAGCCACAATCTCCGGCGACATCGACGGCAACTGCTCTTCATCCGTGTCATGGGCGACGGCAGCCCAAGCTGCAGGTGTGTTGTTCCTATGGTGTCCTTTTCATTGTGAATCATGAATGCCCTCGTTTGTTTTGTTGCAGAAGTTGCTAGAAATGACGGATCTCTTGTCAAATTTCCTCATTTTTTCTGTTCGAGAGTTTAAAGTTTGTTTGAATATTTCGTTCGAAATATCTGAAAAATATCCACAATTTCATATTTTTCTAACCACCAAAATTCCCCCCTTTCTGATACATTGAACCCTGGCAACAAGCTTATAATATTGTTCAATAAACAATCAATGTTAGACTTTTAATAACGGATTGACACATAAGAATAATTTCGCACCGTCGGCCGCCCCTTTCCTCCTCGTCGGGGTGCTGCCGCCGCCCCGCTCCTCGCTACATCCAGCGGGTCGATGGCTCTCGGCGGCGCGGCAGGGTGATGGCTCCCTGGTGGCATGGCGGGTCAGTTGCTCCTTGACGCAGCGGCTTCCCGGTGGCGTGGTGGTTCAGGATCTAGCCCCTGAGCTCGGGACCTCCACGGGAGCGAGGCGGCGAGGTAGAGGTCCAGCGAGGAGCAGCGGCGGCCTCCCGCTCGCTCCTTCCTCTCCTCTCATCATCTCTTGTGTTGATATTTTGTCTCTTGAGTTGATATTTTGTGATGATTTCGATTTTGATTTGGATTTTGTTTTTGGGTTGGATTGGATTGTGTGATAATTTGGGGTTTGCAGAGGAGGTGCGCGCTGGGCGACGGACGAAAATCCTCTATGGAAGCCTTATGATTTTTTTTATGAGGTATAGATTTGCACTTCAGCATTAGGTTAAAAAAAAACAATGACATATCGTCAGGTTGAAAATATACTGTTGACAAACAGATAATAATCCAAAATATCTAAGTCTAAACATACATGCCAACAGAAATATCCAAAATATCTAAAGTCTAAACATAATAATCAACAAACCATCAAAAGTGCATTCGAGGCATTAGGAGCTAAAGACAAGGAAACCTCACGAATTAATACATATAGCAGCAAACACATTTTTGTCACAGATTAGTACAAACATCTTGAGTCAATGCTTTTCCCCCTTTTCGGTGGACTGACCAAAACATGTAGCTTTTGCTATTTCTCAGACCAAATTATGGCTATAGCCGCTAGAATCCTAGTTGTTCTTCAAGATCATAATGAGTCATAATTGAGTTGTTAGATCTAAACGTACATCAAAATTATTTCATGGTGGTGTCACGAGGTACACAAAAGGTTTAATTCAAGCGGTGAAGGATGAACTTAACAGGAAGACCAAAAGGATTATAACACAAGTTGACACAGCATTAGGTGAGGATGTCAACTACCGTAGAAATTTATCACATTTATTTTTCTCTCCACCAAACACGTACGGAGAGTCACATCGCATTATCTTAAGAATCAATTCTCATAATATGTCAGAAAAAAAGAGGATACCAATAAATTACTCAATATAAGCAGGCACATAATAAATGTTGATATAGCTAAAAGTAGAGATACAATCTGATTCTTCTCTGCTGAATTAAGGCTGAGTTTGTTCACTGGCTTTCCCAACTCATCTTCATCGTTTTTCGCGCGTACATTTTCCGAACGGTTACATGGTGATTTTTTCTAAAAATATTTTGATACAAAAGTTGCTTTAGAAAATCATATTATTCTACTTTTTATTTTAAAAAGCTAATACCTAATTAATAATGCGGTCGTTCCGTTTTATGTATCGGAGGGATTAGTTCCAAAAGGTAGGGAACAAACGCAGCCGTACTGCAGCCGTACTGATCGAGCGGGGGTCGTTGGTTCGTTGAGATTTTTTTTTGGAATAAGTCCACTTTGACTTTCTTAACTAGTGCCCGAATCTGATTCGTATCCCTACACTATAATACCGGATATCTTGACCCCCTAACTATTAAAATCGGTGCAATTTGACTCCTCCGACGGTTTTGGAGAACGGTTTCGCTGACGTGGCGTCCACGTGGCATCTCAGTCATCAAATAAATTTAAAAATAAAGTGAAGGGCCCACCCTAAATTAAAAAATAAAGCGGCCCGCGGCGTCGGTGGCGATTACGCGAGTGGTGGCCGCCAGAGCTGGGCGGTGGCGGTGATGCTCGTGCTGTCATGCGCTGAGAAGAAGAAAGAAGGAGAGAGAGAGGGGAGGGGGGAGGATGGGAGAGAGGTAGAGGAAGAAGATGACAGGTGGGGCCCACTCTATTTTTAATTTATTTGATGACTGGGATGCCACATGGACGTCATGTGGACCCCCGATTTTGGAAATCGGAAATCATCTGTGTTTATCCGTACCAATCCCTGGATCAGTAGTTGGTACACACATAGTTGAATCACAACATATCACGAATGAATTCAGGCTAAAAGATTTAAATACTTACATTAGGGCCAGGTAGGCCAACAACTATCAGAGAACAACAGCGGAAGACCAAATAATATAAGGGCCCGGTTAACATGCCACAGGCAGTCGACTGGGGAATGAGACCTAGAACAAGACCGCACTCCGATCATCTTGTTGGATACGCAAGCGTACCGACAAGGGCTTCTCTTCAACACTCTCCTAAAAGATATATAATTAGCAAGGGTGAGTACCAACCGTACTCAGCAAGCCACCACAGCAACGATGCATATGATAGAGGGTATTTCAAGGAATGGCTTCAGGTTCTTTTGCATAAAGCTAGTTTTGCAGTTCTTTTCACAAGCCTAAGACCTAGCATAGACTGATCAAATTTTAGTACCAGTATTCACATTAAACAACGACGGTTCTGTCCACTATCCATTATGATCCCAAGGATAGCTTCCCGCCATTGAGTCGTTATGGTTTTCTGAGGACGTCCACATTCCCGCCTCTCAGGAAGTGGCTCCATCAGCATAAAAATCATCATGCAATATCCCATCCCACACAAGTTAAAGAATTTAGAGTCTAGCCAAGTGTAATACATGTCCCGGTGCTCAATAACCGCGAGCACGGCTATTCGAATAGATCTGGTTTACTCACACTGCAGTGGATGTACACTTTACCCGCACTCCGCGACTGCCCAACACATGAGCCTCGTCCCAACACATGAGACGCGTCACGGCAAAGCTTTTCGATAACCTTGCATTGGCAGTACCCGCTCCATGAACTTAAATCCTCATGCACTCTAGGCATCCATGTTTCTAGCAGTGAGAGGAGTTCTGGCGCTCCCGGGGAAAGAGAAGTCTCACACGCATATTAAATTATGGTTCAAGTTAAGTTCTCTCTCTCACACACTCATGGCAGTCCTACCAATGGCAACACCGATGTAGGGCACGCCTCTCGGCCCTACCTCAACGGCTGTCCCATCGTAGCGCACCTGCCTCACTCAGGGGTGAACCATCTATGCAGGGATACTGCCTCCGCTCGGCTATCTAATCTGCTAGGTCTATACCCATTCGAGAAGTACGGTTGTACGGGAGTCGTTTCATGCTTAACTTCATGGCTCGGTCCTTAATTGACTGGG